GCTGTAACAGGTAAGACATAGTAAATGTCTTCCAAAGACTCCTTTGTTGAAGGGTGCAGTGTTCAGAGAGGTCAAGCCTTTAAGGAAATGTTTGCATTCCTGAAGGCTTTGACTTTATGAATGGATTAATCCATTGATAGACTCCTAGTGTAATGATTTCGGGAGGAAGGACTTTGTTCTAAAACTCACCCTTGTTCTGTCTGCTTCCTGACCACTAAGAAGTGAGCCTCCTTCAGCACATTTTGTCACCACCATGATGCCAAAAAGTGATGGGGCCAGCAGGTACTGATACCACAAGCCAAAAAGTACATGTGTCTCGGGTATTTTGTCACATTGATGGAAAGGTAATTCGAGCCAAAGTCCAAGGCAGTGATTCTTAAATTTTACTTTGTCCCAGGGCTTGTTAAAACAACAGCAGATAAGCTCTGACCACAGTTTCTAGCTTCATCAGTATGGTAAGTATAAAAGTTTGCATATCAAAGAAGTTGGCAGGTAATTAGGAGATTGGATAGGGAAAATATTTTCAAAACCACTGATCTAAGGCAATCTGTTAAAACAAGTCAAGCTCCATCTCAGATCAGACAGCCTGCAGGGGATATACATTGAAGGGAATGACTTAAGCATTTCTTCTTTTTTAACCGAATTTTCAATTCAAATGCCAGAGTTCATCTCTCCTCAACAACCATGGGAAAAATTAATCCTCTTTCCTCAAACTGAGAAGTCAATAAACAAACCGCAATCGCTGTGTGATCCACATGGAGGTTAATGTGTACAGGTAACAATTCAGCCCCAGTGGAACTGATCAGCTGCTCAGGACCTGCATAACTATACTTCATCCATCTTTGAGGTCTAAGTAAGATTCTGTGATAGATGATATCCAAGATGCCCTCTAGAATACTTTGATGGAAGTTCCCGGCCCTTCTTTGCTCTATATGGACTCTTACCTCCCCTAACTAATGGGCTAGTACAAGGAGTCAGTTCATTTGATAGAGTCTAGTGACAATTCAAGTGCTTATAGATACTGCTTGGCCACACTGATCACTTCTTAAAAGACCCAGTGGCACCTGCTGCTTTAGATGCCTGTGCTTCCACATGGACCTGCCTAATCCTCTAAGATGCTTTTCCCTCGGCCATTTGGCTTGAATGTCTCTTTGGGGAGCCTTTTCTGACCTCTGTGCCAGACATTTCATCTGGAATATTCCCCCCAAAAGAATGGGAAGTTTACTTACATCTGTTTATCTTACTAGATTGCAGCACCTAGAGGGCAGGCACTATTTGCCTGACCCACGCGAGCATTGTAAAGCAAATAGTGCCTGACACAGGAAGGACTCTAGACAGTATGGCCTCTGGATCTCACTGCCCCAAAGGAGTGATGGCTTCCTTCTTTTAATGAAAGGAGGTTCCAGGAAGGCCTCTAGGTGGAGTTGCTCTCACATTCCTTTTAGGAAACCATTCTGGTTCAGTCATGGTGACAAAGCCAAGGGGCTGGGATGGAGACAGTACTTTATTATTCTTTTTTTCTGTCCCAGGCTTTTAACTTTCTCCAAGAAAACCTTTACCTAAACCATTCCTGAATGAGGTGAAATTTTTCCTGATCTCTATTCAGGCAGATGGCAACTCTACTGGTAGCCAGGCTGCATAATGAATATCCACTAATATTCATAGATGAACGGTGATTTCTGGGCTGGCAGGTTGGCTATAGGATATATTCTGATGTCATATTTCCCTCAGCAGTCCTGATATCTCTCAAATCGTGTCCACAAGCTGTTTCTTCCACACCTCCATGGTATATTATTTCCCTAGGTGTATCAAATTTCCCCATTTCCAAATTGTTGTCTTCATCTCCTCTACAAAGCCATTCAGCCAACCATAGTCCCTGCCTTCAAAACACAGCTGCATCTGACCCCCTCTCACAACACCCACCAATATTACTGCAGTCCTAGCCCCTTTCCTGTCTCTCAGGGCTTAGTGTACTAGCTTTCCAACCTGAGACTTGTTTTGCTTGTGGGTTCCTATAGAGTCTGTTCTCAAATATACCCAATGACTTAGCTAAAACTGAAGTAATAAATCAGGCCACTATCCTGTGGCACTGTTCCCCAAACACTTTCCATTTCAAAATTAAAGCCCTTCCCACGAACATTCCTCCTGCCATATCCTTTCTGTTTTCAGTCTTTTCCAATTCTGTGCCAGCCACATGGGTCTTCTTCTGTTCTCTATAGACAGAGCTCTACTCTGGGGCCTTCTCACCTCCCACTTTGTCAGCCTACAACTCTCTGCTTGATATCTGATGGCCAGCCCCCTCAATTCCTTCCCTGGAAGGCCTTCTGCAAACAGCTCTGTAAAAAGTAGATTACTAGAATGTCTCATATGGCTCCCTGTTGATTTTTCTCCATAAAAGCTGTCCTTTCAAGGAGGGATAACATTATAATTGGGCTTTTAGTGTGTGTTTTTTTTATTTTTGATTGTTGGTTTTTGATTTTGGTTTTGTGGGAGGGGGGTTGGGTGGTACTAGGGGTTGAATTAAGGGCTTCATTTCATATCAACCAGGTGTTCTACCCACCCCTTGAGCCACACACCTCATCCTCCATTCATTTTGAACTATCTGACATTTTGTCCTTGTAATAATTGTGAAGATTAAACTTTTTAATGACCTTTAAAATTCTGTGAAAGATAACAATTGGGCAAATACTTTCCACAATAAAAAAAAATCTGCAGAAAGCTGGACCTGTGAAACATCTAACAAAGATTACACCAGAAGATTAATGATTTTCTTGTTATTAATCACTATCCAGAGCTGAATATCATTTTATTGGCCAAAAAGTCTGTATCAAAATTACTCCAAAGTAATGAATATATATTTTTCCTTCCCTTGTACCATTTCTATTTGATTTGAGTAAAATTTTTATTCATCATCTTCAGGTACAGTGTTCATTATAAGAGATAACGATGCTTTCAGACTGAAACAAATTACAAGCTTTTTATGACATTTTTTCAGTGAATGAGTAAGGAAAAAGTTATTTAATCTAACTTAAAGTTGCACATTAACACACAGCTAAGCAGAAATTTTTAAAAAATACCTTCTACTTAAGAGATATATCAGATGGTTCTAGCTTCAAGAAAAAAATTGACTTATTTTAAAAGTTGAATAAATGAGCTTATTAAAGTGGACTAATGAGGTCTCTATAGAATTTTTGTAAACTGCAGCAAATTAGGTCATCTAAATTCCTAGCATTTTAAGATGCAAAACAGTGAATTAGTATAAATAATCATCTTTTCTCAGAGGACATTGGTTTACCAGGCTCCTATATCAATTCAAAACCTAGAATTTTACAGGATACTTTCTTTTAAACTGTTAAGGAAAATTAATACTAAAAAGAAATTTAGGGTAGCTAATGAAAGTTTTCTGAGTGTGTAATCCCATTTGTTTTATCGGCTTTTCAATTCTATCTTAAAATTAGTTTCACAAGGTATCATATTGTAATTCAGTATCAGTGCATAATATATTTAAGAACTGTCCAGTAATTCTATTAGGTAATCCTAAGATCCGAATCTCTTGTTATTGTTTTGATACCTGCATTTACAAAACTACCTTCCAATGTTAAAAAAAAAAAAAAAAAACGTTTTTTAAGGGCTAGGATATAGCTCAGTGGCAGAGCACTTGCCTAGTATGTGCAATGTCTGGGTTTGATACTCAGTACCAAAAAAGAAAAAAAACAAAAAAGAACACTGTTAAAGAGTCTAGAGAAGATTTATCATTTTTAGTTTGAAGATAGAGAAGCAAGTTAAAGGTAGGTTAAAAGGTCTGTCTGATCGTATGCTTGAGGCTCTAATCTCACAAGGTAAGTATGTCTTTTGTAACCAGGGAGAAAAAGTGGGCTCTACTAAGCAAGTAATTGCTCTTCATTTTACCTAGAGCCCATGAAGGTAGAAATGAATGGAAAACAACTATAAAATCCATGCAAATAAAAAGAAAAGGGAAGCATCTGCTAATCAACTGAGAAATAAGGAAGACTGATTAATTCTTTACGTGCTCAGCTGAATAAGCCATTTCAGCATAAGGATTATCTCCTGTTTTGTCTAAGTGGTTGCAGAATCTACTTTATCACTACACAGGCTAATAACACAAGCAGATCACAAATAGTATCAAACTCATTGTTTTATAGGAAGAATGTTTCAAATTGGCAGTAAAGTGTGACTGAAAATGAAAAACTCCACAGAGACACACACATAAACACCCCTCTCACCCAAGACAAATGCTAAGAGTACTTTACTTTATACTGTATAGTTCTAAACACTGCAGGGGCAGATAGACAATGAGTGGCTTTCGTCTCCTTATCATTTCCATGCTTGGTCATATGCCACCCACTGCCCTTCACCTCAGCCCCCAAGACTCCCAGGACACAGACCTCTCTCTAATGCAACCTCTCAGGATCCTGTGAACTTCTGTAAGTATAGATCATGCAAGTAATCAGTGGACCAACACAGTGAGCAAGAAAAAAGTTTCTTTTACACAGTCGGCTGACAGAGGTGCATGCCAAAGTAGTGTTCATGTATATATTAAGAGAAGCTATCTGGTTGCAGGGAAACGTTTAGAGGAATAGACATGGCTACTACAGACTAAGTTCTAAAGTTCATCACTGACTGCACTCTTGCCAAACAAGTACTTAAGGAAAGTAAAAATATGGCCCTACATTTATGAAAAGTTAAGACAGCTCTTCCCCAAATCAGTGGACTCAGGTTTTGCTGTCCTATTATGCTAAATTCAAAGACAAGAAAACTGGATTGAAATACTGCATATTTTTATAAAGGAAGATATAAGAAAACCGCACAATAGTAATTCTGTATTCTACTCAGCACTAAACACGTACATACATTCTCATATCTGTTTCAGGGTATAAAATAATTAGAATTAAGACATGCTAGAAACTGCATTACAGTTTCAAGAATTCTGCCTGCCAGGTTAAAAAATATGTATCAAAATGCAGTCTCACACAAGCTGATTATTTTACAGTATTACATTTATTAAATTTCATCATTTATGATCACTTCATTATAACCAAATTAACCCTGACATAAATCTTGACACTTAAAACATAACATACTGATTTTTCAACTATTTTACTTACATGTACTTCTTAATTTGCATGCAGTGCTCATAATTGGGAAATACTGTACATCAACCCTTTCATATTATGCTTACTAAGAACCAAATTCAGAGCATTAAAAAAAAATGCCAACATAAAGTCACTCTCCAAAAACTGCTCAAAGATAAACCAGCCACTGTTCTAATGATATATTAATGGTACAATCTTTTTGATAAGGCAATAATATTATTTCAGGAAGGAATCACAACAAATGAAACCTAAAGTTGAGGAAAGAGCCTGGAGCATATAAAAGTCATTGAGAACACCACACACATTTCAGTGTTTTCCACCTTCCAGTTGCAAGGAATGTACACAAAATTTTTCTTAGTAGACAGTTGTCAGGGGTACAGGGAAACTGCCTTTGATATCACATATTTTGAGAGAACACCAATGCCAGTGAGGAAGAAGAGCTGTGTTCATTATCTTTTAGGTCTGTCTATATCATCTATAGCTGCCAGAAGTTTTTGTCTTGCTTTCTTGTTGATATGGGATCCCAAGCAAACGTTCACCAGATTGGTCAGCTGCTTCGTTGAATATTCCTGTTCAAAGAAAGAAGATGCAAATTCAGAACATAAAGGGCATGTGTATGATCAATGATAGGAATGAACAGGCCAGTTCAGTGCCAGTGAGTACTTCTGAACACGAGAAGCCAGGGAGAAACAGCACAAATTATAGTTGAGACTCAGAGACAACTTGTTGACTAAGCTGTAAAAATAGGGAGTAAAGATCTATCTATTTATCTATCTATCTATCGATCGATTGATCGATCAATCGATCGATCTACCTATCATCTATCTATCTATCCATCTACCTATCTATATTTGAAACAGGAAGCAACAGAACCTGTTTTATGCTCTGGTAAATAGGACAAGCCTATGGTTTATATCAGTTTAAAGGTCACACCTGTTCATTTGTTTCTGTGATAAATTCTCAAAATATACTGCTAATACAAAATTTTTAAATTTACTTTATTACACTTTCATATTGTAAGTAAAATTAAGACTAAAGTATCCTTTTCCATTCAAATCTGTTTCCTGAATTTCAATCAATGAGTTACTAGGATAAGAATAAATTGGGATTTATCAGAAACACCTAATGGTTTGCTTGTAAAGGATGAACAGCAAAAGTTGTAAACAGCAATGTACAGTCATCTAAGAAGAAAAAAAAGTCTTTTTTTTTTAAGACAACCAATAATGAGAATATAATTTCAAAACAGGAGGAAGAGTTCATTCTAAAGACTCAGCAAAATACTCAGTTTGTGTATCTGACCCCAAAGCACCTATCAGCACTGGGTAAGATCTAATTTAACCAGTCAGCACTCAGTGAGAATCCACTGCTACTGAGTACTAGATCTGGCCTTGTATGGAGTTTTTCTAGAAATTTCCTGATTTCCAGGAGAAAAGACCATGCAGGAAGTTACCCTACTGCTACAGAGAAAATGCCACTGAATGAGAGGTATTTATCAGAATATCAAGCTAAGAAATTTTAATGTATTAGTGTAAAAAAAGAATAAATCCTAAAGTATCATTCTTGCATCTAATAATGGCTAATTCAGAACTGTGATACAAATAAAGAAATCTTTGCAGCTTACTAACTTAAATGCATCCCAGGATTCAGCAGTCCATCTGCATACAGATTTAGCATTTTGGTTAGCAGCTATCACTGCAGCTCAGTGGTGAGGTTTTTCTCAGTTCTGGCTTATGTCAAAAATCACTAGAAATCTGTATATTTTTTACTCTGCTTCCAATCTAGAGTGGACACATCTGCACAAAACCCAGCAAATGTGCTCAGTGCTAAAGTTCATTCCATCTTTTTATAATACTAAAACTTGAAAGGATGCATGTATAAGGTAAATACAAATATTATGTATTTCCTTATCTAAATGACATCACTTAGGTTCTACCTTTATAGCTTGAGGATGAACACAATAGTTAATAAAGCAACAAGATTTGGTGATAATTTTTTTTTGGGGGGGAGAGGGGGTTGCTGTTGTTTTACTTTGGGGACAGGATCTGGCTATGTAGTCTGGGCTGTGCTCGAATTCCAGATCACCTACCTTAGATCCTGCATGCTTAGACTGGTGATTTTAATACCTCCCATGTTTTCATTAACTCCATCTATCTCTCTATGTATGCGTGTATGTATGTATGTATGTATCTATCTATCTAATCTATCTATCCAAATGATATAAAAGTCCTACAGAAAAACGCCCATATCAAGCATGGTTAAGTGACACGTTAAGTTATACTGTTAGAAACTTCAACATCCTAAGTAACTTACAGTATTTTTCTCACAAACAAAAACAAATCAAATTTATAAAACTAAAATCTAATTTAGGACACACATTTAGTTACTTACATATTGTTACCTCCAGTTATCATTAATACATGCCAGTATGTTTAGGCTAGTCTATATGAAGTAAAAAGCTTTGCACTACAGTTCATGAACTGGTTCAACAGCAACAGTTGCAGGAAAACTAGTAATGTTCTTATGGTGGCTATATTTCCAAATATTATTCAAACAGTTCAAAAGTGCTCACAAGATTTTATTTAGAAAAACAGCACTGCATACACACGATGTAAATATGATTTTAAAAACTGAACTGAACTAAGTAGTTTATGTTTAAAAAAGCTGATGTTTTTACACTTCATTCTCATAATCTAGAATTATATAACATACCAGACAAGAACAGCACAAAGGGAAGGAATGAAAACTTAAATAACTATTTCCAGTTCTTACCCTATGCTCTTTGATCCAGCGTTCCATGTCATTCTCAGTTAGGTAATAAGCTTTGATGTAGGTTTCTACAAATTCTTTATCAGGAATGGGTCTAATATCAGTCAGTTTTTCAAGTTTCATTAGAAACTGTTGGAAATCCAACTGCATTAAGGCCCGTCCTTCATTACTGCACTTTTTGACGTTGGCATATCTAAGATACATAATAGTAAGACAGCATAGATGATGGCATGATTAGGAAAAGAAACTTCTAGGCACCTTAATTTTTCTCTAAACCATATTTGTGTAGATGGTCCAAAACAATGAAAGCATTCAGAAAAAAAGAGTACATGATCCTGTATCACAAGAAAATAGGTTGTTTTAACTATATGGCTGAAAGAAAAATTATTTTTCCTATCTGGCCTTCATTTTCTTCATTTGTAAAGCAGAGACTGAAGACTTCAAGGTTCTTTGTTCCTCTATGGGCTACAACTCTTTGCACCCAATTAATACATCTATGTATGAGAAGGTTGAACTGTTATTTCTGTTAATCTGGCTGCCAAGAGTTATTTATAAAATTAAGCTTTGAGAAACAACTGCCCAATAAAGAAGTGGGCTAAAGACTTACAGAAAAAACTTCTCTCAAGAGGAAAGAAGGATAGCCAATAGACACATGAAGAAATGCTCGACCTTCCTAGCCAAAAAAGAAATGCAAATCAAAACAACACTGAGATACCACCTCACCCCAGTTAGAATGGCTATAATCAAGAACTCCAATAACAACAGATGCTGGAGGGGATATGGACAGAAGGGAACCCTATTGCACTGCTGGTGGGAATGAAAACTTGTTCAACCACTTTGCAAAGTAGTATGGAGGCTCCTCAACAGACTCCACATAGAGCTCCCCTATGACTCAGCAACCCCAGTTTTGGGCATTTACCCAAATGATCACAAACAAGACCACACTAAAGCTACCAGCACAACTATGTTTATTGCAGCATTATTTAGCATACCTAAGATATGGAACCAACCCAGATGCCCCTCAGTAGATGAATGGATCAAGAAAATGTGGTATATATACACAATGGAATTCTATGCCTCCATCAGAAAGAATGACATTGCCCCATTTGTTGGGAAATGGAAAGACTTGGAAAAAATCATATTAAGTGAAGTAAGCCAGGCCCAAAGAAACGGTCCCATGGTTTCCCTTATTTGTAATAACTAGTATATGTCTTAGACAAGCAGAAATGGTCAGATAAGTTGATGTTAGGTGAAATAAACCTCAAATGGTTTTTCTTTCTTGCTATTGTTTCTAACATATTTATAAGATGAATTTTTTTGTTGCTTTGTATGTCCCTCTCCTATGGTATAACCCCTGTTTTCACTGTATTTGATGTTGGTATAATTTGTGGAGGGGAAAGGAAAAAACAAATTGCAACAGTTAAGATGTACAAGACGCTATGTTGAAAAATGAACTTTAGCTGGTAAGGTGGTAGAGCGCTTGCCTTGCATGCTTGAGACCCTGGGTTCGATTCCTCAGCAACACATAAGCAAAAAAGAAAAAAGCCGGAAGTGGTGCCGTGGCTCAAGTGGTACAGCACTTGCCTTGAGCTGAAGAGCTGAGGGACAGCGCCCAGGCCCAGAGTTCAGGCCTCACGACCGAACCAAAAAGAAAAACAAAAATGAACTTTATAATTTTGGCTGGGGGGAGGGGGGAAGAGTGTAGTTGTGGAGATAGGAGGAAACGGATGGTAGGGGAAAAACAAAGGAGGAGGCAACAATGCTGGATAAGAAATGTACTCATTACCTTGGCTCATGTAATTGTAACCTCTCTGTACAATATTTTCACAATTTAAAAAACTTATTAATATAAAAAAATAAAAAATAAAATTAAGCTTTGAATATTCTAAAGTAATCCATTTTATAAAACCATTTGGTACTATAACCACTTGATGCAAAGGAAATAAATAATTCTCCCACTAACACTATATATATATATATATTTAATGATAAAACAATTGTGATTTATTATGATCTTCCACACTGTTGAAGCATTATGTGTCTTAAAGTAAATTAGTAATCTGCATAAATATATTAACTTTAACAGCACAACATTTTATTACTCCTAAGTAACTATACAGTTTCTTCGATTAATCATACAGAACATGGAAAATTCAACCTAGGGAATCAGTTATTTCCCCTATTGGAAGTTGCAAGAGAAACACAACTTACATAATTTATTGACCAAACTTTCATTTATTTTCAATAAGGTGATTATACAGAAACCTAACATTTATTGCTTACTTCTCTACTTTAAACAAATTGATTGAAAATACTTTTCAAAGTTATTGAGACAGTCATTTTATGAAATCTAGCACTGGAATTCCCAATACAGAGAGACAAGATGTTGTCTGTTCATCCCCATAAAGTTGCCATTTTCTAATACTTTCCTTTTTATAGCAAAGAAGAACTAAGGAGAATTGGATGAATGAATGTGTGAAGATTCACTTAATGTACAACTCTACAGTACTGTACATGGTATTTGATATATCTGTTCACCTTTTGGGGGTGTTTTAGTTATATTACTGACTCTTCTCTGTGTTCTACATGTGGCAGAGTAAGCATGGTCTTTCAGTAAGTGGGAGAACTGCTAACAACTGATCTGTAAATTAACACATGAAAAATGACATTGCTTACAATAATTCAAATATGACAGAGATATGGGAATACTGAAACTGGGACTATGAGAACTGACTTTACCAGCAGAAAATCAGAAGTCCATATGTTTTCTTTGAGTTTTCAATCGGTATGAACTTGGACAAATTATTTAACCTATCTGACTGAGAATACAGAAAGAAAAACAGCGTCAAAGAGGTAAGTCACATACTGGTGATGCGACCTGGTAAAACATTTGGTTCAGTAAATGACACATGCTCAAATGTTAGGAATCATTGTAATATAAATTTTATTTTCCTTTAGATAATAATTATTAGTTTAGCTTTCAGATAACCTAATTATTTTTCAGTCATCTACTAGCTTGGTTTGGTATCACCAGCAAAAATACCAAATCACAAATATAGGCACAGTGGGGTTCAGAGTTTCTTTTCAAATCAGATTCCAAATTTATCTATTATTACCTCAACTAATTCTCACCATTCACCAGTGATAGCACAGACTGTCATGAATACATTAAAAACTTACCCTTCCACAATAGTTCTATTAGCCAGTCGTATACAATGTTCCCATAGTATATTAGACACAGGCAAGGGTATCCGAACTCTCTTTGAAACGTCATTTAACCTCCTGTTAAACTGCTCAAATTCCTAAGAAAACAAACATGTAACCAACTGTGAATGTCATTTTAATGCCATAGCACTTCCCCCCAAAACAGTAAAAGAATACATTCCATCTGAAAAAAAAGTATCCTATTAGTGGCTGAACAATGTCAACTATGGCCAAATGTTGCTTCATTGTAACATTACTATGGCTGTCACTATACACTAGAAGGGCCCAATGACTCAATTTGGCTTTAAAACAATGTTTGAGAATCCAGTCTTTAAATGCTATTTTAAGAAATTTTCAACTGAAAGTTAACTCTCTGTAATATGCTCTCTCCTTAGAGAGCATAATCTGATAAGTTATTTTCTGTCCTAACCTTATTTGAAAGTAATTATTAACTAAATGATTTACAAGCCATGACACATGTAAAATTTTAATACAAAGGAAAAAATGCAAAAAGTACTTCCAATTAATCACCGGAAAATGGAGTCTCTTTACTGGCTATTAATTTGTATGACATGATGGTACTAAAAATAAAACTATATACTGTTAATTTGGATACTTCAAATAATTACATGAAAGCAAGACACTGTTGTGTCCTTCCACAGATGATCTGTTTGGATTCCTTTTCATCATGTAGACATGGCCACTTATAAGAGCAAGTGCCACTGCCCTTCTTTTGTAATATATTTCAAGATATTTAAGAAAGCTTAAAATGATGTTCTAATTCTTTAGTGTCCTGAATAGAGAAGTAACATAATGTCTAAAATGTCAAGACAGATGAAGCTGATTTTCCCATCAGGTGTAAAGATAATTGTTCTCTTTATTACTTCTTAAGTCACGATATTCCTTGCTGATTTATTTTTAACAGTTCATTGCTTTTAATTATGAAAAGAAGCAAATTCACTAAGTGTACCACCGAAAATCAATGTAAAATAAAATAATGGCACTTTCTGTTTCACAGATCTAAAAGAGCAGTAGTATTTGATGTGGTATTTATTTGTGTGCTCATGACAGTAAACTGTTTTGAATTTAAGAATCATAGTTCAATAATTTTCATTAACAGTTTAAAGATAAAGTTATATGCTCATGGTACAAACTGACATTCTACTTACCGCTAAGTTCAATGTTAAAGGATGGCAGTCATTATATGAATAATAAAACCATTTCACTGTACTTAAAAGTCTCTCATGGCAACAAAGTTGAAAACGCAATCCAAAGATCCAAAGTTATACTTAATAATTGTAACTTTGTAATAATTAATTACCAGTAATAATTAACCTTAAAGAAAGCTTTAGTCTGCTAAAAATTGGATTTGGGTTACTAAACATGGGTTCTTCCTGATAATTATGCTTCTTGGAATTAGGAATAACTGAAGCAAGTAACTCACTCTAGTGTGCATGTATTAGTCTTTTCATTTATTTATTTTGCATTCCTGAGTTTTCAACTCAGGGACTTGCTTGGAGCTCTAAAGCAGAGGCATGCCTCCAGCCCTGATTTTCTCTGTTGAGCCCGGATAAACAGGCTTGCATCACCACATCCAGCTTCGGGGAAAACAGATTCACTTGGACAGGAACTACTCTTCTGATTTCACATACCTTAGAATAATAGGTAAACACCACTGTACCCAGCTATGGACTGAAAAAGGGTCTTGCAAACTTTTCTGCCTGAGCTGGCCTTGAACTAAAATCCTCTAGATCTCAGACTCTCAAAAAGCTAGGACCACAGAAACTAGGACCAACAGAAACTGTTCCTGCATCATGACATATGATATGGCCTAAATGTTTGTATCCCCCTAAATCCACATAAAGAAATCCAAGTTCCAGTGGTGATGGCACTGAAAGCGGGGCTTATGTAAGGAAAGGGTCCCGAAGTGCTTTTTAAAAAGCAAGTTGTGCCTTTTTACCGTATGAGGGTGCAATGAGAAGGTGGCGTCTATCAGAAAGCAGGCCATCACCTGATAGAATCTATCTGAGCACTGATCCTGAACTTTCTGGCCTCCAGGACTATGAGCAACAATGATTTGTTGTTGTGTGTATAAACAATCCAATCTGTTGCACTGTGAGAGCAGCTGAAACAATCTAAATCAGTATGTCATAAAAAACAATCTTTTTTTTTTAACACACCAAATGTTTAAAAAAAGAGCAATGAGGTGATGTCATCATTTGCAAATTATATTAGTATTTTATATTCCATTTAGAATTCACAAGTGGAATCTCCTGGATGCTCTGGAAATGTTTGTCCTTCCATTTCCATTACTGGTCAAAGATCATTTAATGGAGACCTCTTGGGTCTAGACATTAAATTTGGACACAGTTTACCAATTCTTCAAAAACGGGAGTGGAGGGAGGGAGCAGGGAGAAGCAGGACTTCTAAAAATGAATAGACAAATGGCACTGCTATTTTTGTTTCAACCTATTCCTCCTGAGTCCTCAAGGCTTCTCAGGCTACTATTTATTGCCTTGAGGTAAGCAATTAAACAAAAACATGCAAAAGAGATAAAAATCAGGGGGTTTAAAAAGGCTCAATTTCTAGCTGGTACCAGTGGCTCACACTAGTAATCCTACCAACTCAAAGGCTGAGACTTGGAAGATTGCAGTTGGAAGCCAGCCTGGAACAAGACAACGATAAAACACCATTTCCAATTAATTAGTAAAAGCCAGGCAGAGTGAGTATAGCTCAAATGGTAGAGGATCAGCCAAGGAAGCAAGCTAATCAAGTGCAATTTCCTATATTCAAATCCTGATGCCATTAAAAAAAAGAGAGAGAGGAGATACTGGTCAATTTCTTTACTTGGACAAAATTTTTTTAAAAAAAGAACTACTTCTGAACACTGCATCTATCTTCTCAGATACCCTTTCCTCTATTTAGGTATCCGTATGGCTCGTATCTCCACTGGACCAGAGCAAATAAATGGTGTTTCTTTCTCAACTATATCCTGTCATTTGCTTTCTTCCTTTAGCTCTTGATATTTTTCTTTTTCACAGCGTTTGATATTACAACTCAATAATCTGTTTATTCCTGTCTCTGCACTGGCAAGTAAGTTCCTTGAGGGCTTGTAAGTTCCTTAATTCATAATTACATTGCCAGTATCTCTATTAGTGCCTGACACTTGTCAGATGATCCATAAATAGCTATTTACATATAAATGAAAATGAACTAAAATTCTAAGAAACTTATTAATGTAGGTCACTGAAAGCAAAGAGTTTATATCTATGACACACTGCAAAATAATACGATTTCTAGGAAATACAAGTTGGAATAATCAGGGGAATGGTTATATACACACTCTCAACTATAGAAATAACTTCCAGTTAAATAGGAATATCTTCTTGAATTTAGATCAAAGTCATTGGGTTAAGTAATATAAAAGTCACCCATGACAAGAAATAATAGAAGTCTAACTCAACATGGAAAACAACAACAACAAAATCTATGAAGGAGGTATTCTTAGATCCAAATAAGTCAAAATGCAGACAATAACCCTATTATAACTCAGGGACTTTAATTTGTAAGGGGAAAACTGTGGTAGTAACTATAATGTCACTATTTTAGAGGCACCAAAGAAGCGTTTCTCTTAATAGAATGCTGTGACCCAGGATACTTGCCTTTAACAATGCATCTACATACATGTTGTGCTGTGACATAATTTCCTTTACATCCCACTTCACATTGGCCATTAGGAGTAGCATCTGTTCATAATCAATGGCTTTCCCAGCTACAATCCAGTAAATTGGTTTGCGCAGTTCACTGGCAGTTGAGACTGTCTGAAATGTGTTACACAGAGATGAAAAGAGTTATCTTTACAAGCATCAAGTTTATAAAGAATATTCTGCCCCTCATTCTAATATATATTGTACCAGAAAATAAAACACTATAAATCTGGAGACAAATTATAAAATATTCTGATACAAGGACTTTACTCAAAGTATAATTTTCTCCTCTCCATTTCAATTCCCAATATCCTGGTACATGATTCCAGGATCTCTCACCTTCAAACTGGTCTTGTTTTTCTCCATCTAGACATGTCAACTAGTCTATCCTTTACCTGCCTCCCTAATACAATGCATACCTGTTTTTTTTTAAGTATTAATATTTTTATTATGGCATCAAAGCAGTATTTTATACATTAACTCAGTTTACTGTAAAAACATTTCATGTACAACTGCAGAGAAACCATTACACAAATTGCAAACAAAAAAAATGGGTTTAATTTAAAAAGGACATTGATACATAAATTGGAAAATATTTTCTTTGTAGCAAAATGGTAACATTTCCCCATTTAAACCAATAGTAAATGAATTATGCATTTATAAATATGGTTTGAACTCTGGGATCTACAAAAAACATTAACTCCAATTACTGAAAAAGCCATGCTGGTCAGGAGCCAGTGGTTCATGCCTGTAATCCTATGTCCTCAGGAGGCTGAGATCCAAGGACTATGGTTTAAAGCCATCCTATTAAGTCCAAGGAAATCCACCTCCAATTGACCAGAAAAAAAGGTGGAATGGAGGTATGGTTCAGGTGGTAGAGCATCAGCCTGGAGTGAAAAAGCTGAGTCTTGCTTGAGGCCTTGAGTTCAATCATTGGTACTAATAAAAAAAAAAAAATCAAGGAGGTGGGATGGGGTGAGTGACAGAGGGAAGAATACTTTCTTAAAATTCCTATTAATCTTCCCTCTTTTTGTGCCTGGTCATTTTACTTTATGCTATTCCATAATCTACATGTTTATTTTAGCTGTTCCTTCACAAGGAGCAGGTACTGTAACCTTTTAATTTGCTTGACACATTATCCATTCTTATCCAGACTGGATGTTTTAGATACTATTATAACATGACCAGTATTTGGGACAAAACCAGAATCTAATAAATTATAACCCACAAGGCACATGTGGCCTACCATCAAACACCTTCCCTAACTCCCTGTAGCTTGATAAGAAGCCACAAAACACAGGAATAAAGTGAAACTAACACAGGGATCAGAAGATAAAAGCAAGGAGAGAGTAAGGAAAGGCCCAAAACTGTCCAAAAAGAAATGTACTTATTACCTGACTTATGTAATTATAATCTCTCTATACATCACTTTTATAATAATAAAAAATGCCAAGAGAATTCTGAAAACAGGGTAGAAACCTGCCTCAGGAATCAGGATAAAGTGGCTGTCAAAATCCCTTACCGCAAGGGGACCAAGTAGTGAAACCAGATACGGAAACAAGAGCCTGTAAAGAGTTTAGTTGTTCAAACTAGTTGAGAATGACAGATTGTCATTTAAATTTTCCTGCACAGCTTATTCTAAGACCCCCCCAGTAGAGAATTTCCAGAAACTAAGGTTAGAAGACACTAACACCCTTTAAGCTTCTATGCTATACAATGCATAACTGTTTTAAACTCTCTCCAGTAGCTTCCTAGTGCATTCAGAATAAAGTCCAACTCTAGGCGGAGTACTTTACATGATACAGCTTCTGCCTGTCACTCTTATCACTAGCTCTTCCATGTTCTGTCAAGGTAAGCTGTCTTCAGATACTCACATGCATCTCACTCTCTGATCTTGATATATGCCACCCTCTTAGTTGGGAATTTATTTGTCCCCAATAACCTCTCTACCTGGGTGGTACCGTGTAAATATTATTTCCTTTGGACAACTTCAGCTCCCCCTTCTTTTAGTCGAGGAGGCATTTTCTGTCATTCTTCTTTCCCCTTATCATAGCACATATCACAATTTATTGTAATTACAGTTCTAATTAGATTATAATTCTATACAGTAACAATGAACAACCCAGAAGTAAAAAAGCAATTCTAAAAGAAGCAAATTAATGTTGTTTGAATTAGTCCTTTTTCACTAGATTAAAAATTACATGAGGTACTCAGTAAGTACTTTTGTTTTTTTTGGGGGGGAGGGGGTTCTTTCTGCCAGTCTTGGGGTCTGAACTCAGGGCCTGGGCACTCTCCCTGAGCTTCTTTTGCTCAAGGCCAGTACTCTACCACTTGAGCCACAGCACCATTTCCAGTTTTCTGTATATGTGGCACTGAGGAATTAAACCCAGGGCTTCATGAATGCTAGGCAAGCATTCTACCACTAAGCAACATTCCCAGCACCAATAAGTATTTATTTAACATAAGGAATCTATGAGTGAATAGATGAAGATTTCCTCTAGCTCTCTATTTAAAAAAATATATGAATCAAAACATACCAAAACATACCAAACAAAAAACATTGGTGAGAGTCCCACCTTGATTGGGTTGAAGTGATTAGTAGAAGAGGACTGACCTGAGAGTAGAACTGCTGCAGAAAGGGCTTTTTGACTGCAGGCATCACAGCATCCAAATGTGGCTGAAGGAACTCAAACTGTTCAGCCAAGAACACCCTAGAGGGAATAAATAATCAAATAAACAAACCAGGCAGGCCTTCTAGCCACTCGGTGATTCAATACAAGCAATCCAAGGCCTCCAAGAAAAACATAACAATTAAAAATTACTTCCTATTTAAGGAACCACCTTGTACTCAGACATGCTCACTGATAATCTACTACGCAACAATGAATGCTGACTTTATCACTGAATAGAAGTTGAAGAAAAGAAAACCAACCTTCAGGAAGATAATCTGATTAGCACAAAGTATAGAGTAATGCTGCTTTGCATGCAAAGACTGAAGAAAGAATAAGGTAGTCCTTTTTGAAGAATTTCTTTTAAAGAACCCATTCATTTATATAAAAAAGACCTTTGGATAATAGGTTGTACACATGACATTTTAACTGAACACAGCACATACGTGCTCTTCAGGCCCAGGATTGAGTGCTGATCAGCTGGCCATGGACTGAGCCTACAGAGGCACTGTTGTAAACCAATTTTTCTCTCCTTTTTTCTCATATATACAAGGCTACATTTTATAGAAGTTAATTGAATTAACATATTGAATCTTCCATCCAAAAGAAAATATAACTTTTTTTCCCTGGTGGTACAAAATGTAGTATTATTTAAGCTATGCTCCCAGCCCATTTGTTTTTGTTTCTGAGACAGGGTCTCATTAACCTTGCCTAGACTGGTCTTGAATTTGCCATCCCTTGCCTTCCTGGTGCATACCAGGATTACATGCATTCAGGACCATACCTGGTCTATATCTTAACATTAAAAAAAAACAAAACTTTTATCCAAAATAAGGTTTGTGTTGCTAAGGATCAAAATTTATAAGACTCTCCTTCCTTTCATTTATAAATTGAAAACCAACCTTTCTCTTACAAAAAGCAATTCACAATCTCTGTTAGCATATCCTTCTTAGACAGAGGTTTAAGCAATTCTTACTTTTAGGGCTTTTCTTAAATAGTTAATGGCAATGCAAGTAACTTACAAGGATTCTGTGGCTACCACTCTCTCTGCTAATCCATACAATGTATCCCCAGACGTCAAAACCACTAGATGACTAAGGTGTGGGCTGGGCACCTTCTCCTTTCTTTCTTCTACTGCTGTGAGTGTGGCAGTGGGATCAGCTGAGACTTCCTGAAAATATAACACACATGCAAACACCAGAAACAACAACTCTAATAACTGGAGCTACAATCAAAATATGTGGCCATACAGTAATCACGCTTAGTTTCAACAGTTTCATAGCTGCTTTTATGACTTTATGTACTGAAATTTTCACTTTTTTTTTTGTCAGTTGTGTGGCTTGAACTCTGGACAACGCTGTCACTGTGCTCTTCAGTTCAAGGTGAGTGCTTTATCGTTTAAGCCACAGTGCCACTTTCAGTTTTCTAGTGGTTTATTGGAGATGAGTCTCATGGACTTTCCTGCCCGGGCTGGCTCTGAATCATGATCCTCAGATCTCAGCCTCCTGAGTAGCTAGGATTACAGGTGTGAGCCACCTGCACCTGGCTGAAATTTTCACTTTTTATACTAAGAGAAAATTATTCTGTATATCAAATATATGTTGTTACCATCTGTGCACTACCTAAATTCAGTCTAGACAGAAACCTGGATAAACTAACAGCTGGATAAACTGACAGAGATGCCCCTGGAGAACTGATCTACAAAAAAACTAAGATTGCCCCTTGAGAAGCTGGCTGGTAAAATCATAAAGTATAGTATGACTAGCCATATCACACAAAAATCTTCATCAAGATAGCCTTTCTTGGTATAATTTCAAGCAGGCACAACTAGAATATAGTTATAAACTAATACAGTACCAAATGACTGTAGATGTCTTGGGGAAGATTTAAGAGGAGAAGGAAAATGATCAATGTGAACAGATCAAAAAGACACTTATAGGGCAGAGAAAGCTAGGCTCCTCAAAATATAGTCACTTGGCTCAGTGGTAGAGTGCTTACCTTGCATGCATGAGGCCCTGGGTTTGATTTCTCAGCACCACATAAGCAGAAAAAAAAAAAAGCCAGAAGTGACGCTGTGGTTCAAGTGGTAGAGCACTAGCCTTGAGCTGAAGACCTGAGGGACAGAGCCCAGGCCCAGAGTTCAGGCCCATGACCAGACCCCCCAAAAAAAAAAAAAAATATATATATATATAGTCACTGGTTTAGACTAACAGCCATGTAGTCAATATCAGTGACAGTACAATTTGAGGAACTTTGAAGAAAACTCATAGATTTCAAAGGTGTCTCACTTTCATCTGATGCCATGCTTACTAGCAATCTTCTTGCTACTAATTTATCCTTCCCAGTATTGTGATACTAGGAAAAGAATACCTAGGCTATGACTTATACACCCCCTTGGACTTCACAGAAATACACCTCATATTACAAACAAACAACATGGGAGAAAAGAATATCATGAGATCTTAGGTAATGCGGTACTAGACAATTTACTCAGAGTAGCTAATAGAGTGCCAGAAGACCTGAATTCCCATCACTCAAATATTTCCAAACTAAAGTATTTAAGTAAACAGGATTGCCTTTGCACAGCAAATAGGAAAAGCTTCTGCATAGAACAGTGATGTCATCAGAACAGTTACCTACCTAAATAGTTGTTACCCTCAAGGTCAAAGAATCTCATCTATGGTTTTGTGAACAAACAATTCCACGGGAGCGTCTCAATGAACAACTCCTAACAATGCTGATGCTTTTATTTTTTTTAATTTAATTTTATTTTATTTGTGAACATACTGTACAGAGGGGTTACAATTACATCGGCAGGATAATGCGTACATTTCTTACCAAGCATTGCAGCCTCCTCCTTAAACTCAATCACTATACTGTGGAAGGCCATGAAGCCCTTTAATAACAAAATATATTTGTAATAACAATTAGCTTGACTTAGAAATGGAAGTTATACTCTTCATTTAATTACAGTACCTTTTCAAGTAATGACATGGCCACAATATCAATTCATTACATTTTGAACAAAAATTCCAGAATTTATAAGAAGAAAATAATTAGTAAATGCTACACAAATGTGCTATTATATTTTTAAGAACAACAGGAGAGCCCCAAAGCACTTACCTATGACCTTAGTACTTTCTATATAATGTTGAGTTCCCCCTTAACTTACAGAGCTCTTTTATAAAAACACTCAGCAATCTCCAATTGCTGCTCAAGTCCCAAAGGTTTTCATTACAATGGAGTCCTTTGTTCCCAGTTACCACTTGAAGTTTAGGAACAAAAATTATGGTAATTATTTGCTGGAAGGCTAAAGGTCAGTGTTTACATTTAAGGAAAAGAAGTAAGCAAAAGTGAATAAAAAATGTCAGGCTGACATAAATAAATGGTAAGTACTTATAGTGCATTTAGGTGGAAAAACTCCTAAACTGGATCCCTGTTTCAATGTATTACAACCCAAAGAATAAAAGAAGATACAACTTCTTTTGGCAACTGAGAAATGAAATCTTCATCTTTAGTGTTACAAAAAGACACATTTGGTTAGCCTTTTCCTGACATTAATGTATTGCTACAAAAGAGTGTTTATAGTTGTAGATTTTTGTGGACAAATTTAAAATATTTTTTTTATTACCAAAGATTCAAGCTGCACATGGTTGTAATCCCAGCAGTAGGGAGGCTGAGGCAGAAAGACTGCCAGATTGAGGCCAGCCTGGACCACACAGTGAGACACTGTCCCAAAAAATGAAGAAAAACCAAGTAGGCCAGAGTTCAAAGATCTTAAATAATTTAGTTAGCATCACCAAATGGATAAAGTTAGTAAGTTACAGTTCTGGTGCAATCATCACCTACACCAACTGCTTTTCCTACCTTTTCTACAGTTCCATTTCATTTGTTGCACATTTTTTGACACGCTAAACAAAATTTCCTATATTGAACTTGCATGAGAAATTATTTTAGGTGTCCTTTTTAAGAACACAATCTTTCTATTTTGACTTTTACAACTTGAAGAACGGTTAAAAAATCAGATGGTATCTATGGATGAAATAAACTATGAAAAAAAGTTTACTAAGATCTTAAATGACATGTAAGAAAAATATACAAGAAAAAATATTACTTTTTCCTTATTGATTCCCTATTAATTAAGCTATCAATTATTTTACTATCACAAGAAAGTAAGAAATCAGTTAATTTTCTGCCAGTGTAGAAATGAAACTGATGAAGATAACTAGTATGCCAACTTAAAAAGATCTGAGATCAAGGTCCAGTAAATAACAAGTATCATCAAAATAATAAGTCAACACTTCACAGTATGAAAACATAGAACAGAAAAATAAACAAAAAACATAAATGGAAACTGTTGAGGAAATTTCAACTGGATTGTGTAGAGTTGTATCACCCACAGAGGCAAGGACACTGGAGAAACTATCAAAAGGCAGTACTCCAGACTAACAGAGGGAGGACCACAGTGCACATAGGTTTCTCATCCAGCGGGAAATCTTCTGATTCAAGAGACAATAAGAACGTAAAGAAAGGAAAGTTTTAAAAAAATAATGTGCCAAAACTGACTGTATAACAACATAGGCATATTTATGTATTGGAATAAGGTACAGTTAGTTTGTAAATGTATACCTCTAAGTCATCCCATGATCACAGAAAAGTCAGGCAAATGTCATAGACATTTATTATCAGGGGATGGATGCAGCTGTCTGAAAGAAGAGCTAGTTTGATACCATTTTGTTCTAATATACACATGTGACAAAACCTGAAGCATAAGCCCAAACCTTACAAGCCAAGTTTCTGTGTATGGCTTGAAAATCCTAAGCCAGTAACTAGCAGAGATGACAAAAAAAAAAAAAAAAAAAAACAGTGAAGGAAACCTCAGCTGTGGACTAAGCTGTAGGACAAGATCTGATGGTCAGAGCTATGCTAAGCATCAAACAAAGAAGTCCAAATCAAACACAAGAAACTTCCAATGGGCTGAAATCCAATGGATTTTTAAAAACAGACTTAACATGAAAACCAGAGAATATAGTTTATTCATTTACCCTAAAAATCTGTATTAGAGAAATGTGTGAAGAAGACTGCTATGACTACGTAGTCAGCCCTCCATATTCACAATTCGAGATAAAAAATATTTGAAAGAAAAGAAGCACCTGTATAGAACATGAATAGACATGTTTTCTGCCATTATTCTCTAAACAACATAATGTAGCTGTTATTTACAGAGCATTTACATTACACTAGGTAACTTAATCTGAAGATGATTTAATGTATACAGGAAAACTTGTAAAGGTTGTACAGAAATATGATATTTTACATAAGGGACTTGAGTCTACATGGGACTGGGTATGTGCACATTGGGAGATTCCTAAAACTAATGCCCCAGAGATACTAAATGAAAAATTGTATTCTGAAAAGGAAATACTGGATCAAGAATAGTCAAAGGAGCTGGGAACTGGTGGCTCATGCCTGTAATCCTAGCTATTCAGGAGGCTGAGATCTGAGGATCACAGTTTAAAGCCAGCCTGGGCAGGAAAGTCTGTGAGACTCTTTTCTCCAATAAACCACCAGAAAACTAGAAGTGGCACTGTGGCTCAAGTGGTAGAGTGCTAGCCTTGAGCTGAAGAATTGAGGGACAGCACCCAGGCCCAGAGTTCAAGCCCCATGACCGACAAAAAAGGAAAAGAAAGAATAGTCCAAGGATAGTAGCGATGGACACTGCTTATTCCCCTGCTCAGTGTTCACCTACGACATCAACACATGCCTCAGTATCACTTATGCACATTTTGCTCAAGCATTACCATTCCATTATGCTCAGCTTTACTCTCATCTTAGCAGTTATCAGTTCCTCATGCTATATATATTTGTCTTTGGGATCCAACAAAATATGAGTTCTAAGATGAAGAGATAGAAATGACCTATTCATTGATATAGATTCTTAGCAACAATTATTTCAGTAAGATTATTTTTTCTTTTTGATTGAGAAGAGGTTGGTCTCACTATATAGCTCAGGCAGGCCTTTAACTCTTGATGGTGTCTAGCTAGTAGGTATTTCTGAAAAGAATGAATGATGATATGCTTTCTAAAACGTTCAATAGCATAACCATACAGACAATGTAGACATTATGAAAAGAGTCAGACACTATGATAAAAAAGAATTGGAGCAGATTGAAGAAATAAAGAAGAATCCAGAGAGGCCTAGGGCTAATGTAGCTACAGAAACGTGTCCAGAGAAACAAATTTGTCACTATAACAACCAACCACAGAATTTTCTTTACTTATTCATATTCTTAAAAACAACCTTTGCTTAATATGATTTTTTCCAGCTCTTTCCATTTCCTTACAAATGGGGTGGTGTCATTCTTTCTGATGGAGGCATAGAATTCCAGTGTGTGTGTGTGTGTGTGTGTGTGTGTGTGTTGGTGTCATTCTTTCTGATGGGAGCATAGAATTCCAGTGTGTGTCTATGTGGCGGTGTCAATGTGGCGGTGTCATTCTTTCTGATGGAGGCATAGAATTCCAGAGTGTGTGTGTGTGTGTGTGTGTGTGTGTGTGTGTGTGTGTTGGTGTCATTCTTTCTGATGGAAGCATAGAATTACAGTGTGTATGTATGTGTGTGTGTGTGTGTACACCACATTTTCTTGATTCATTCATCTACTGAGGGGAATCTGGGTGGTTCCATATTTTAGCTCTGGTGAATAATGCTGTGATAAGCATAGTTGTGCTAGTAGCTTTAGTATAGCCTTGTTTGTTTTCATTTGGGTAAATGCCCCAAAGTAGGCTTGCTGGGTCATAGGGGAGCTCTATGTGGAGTCTTTTGAGGAACCTCCATACTGCTTTCCAAAGTGGTTGAACAAGTTTCCACTCCCACCAACAATGCAGTAGGGTTCCCTTTTGGCCACATCCCCTCCAACATTTAAATTTCTTGATTATAACCATTCTAACTGAGGTGAGGTGGAATCTCATATTAAGTGAAGTAAGCCAGTCCCAAAGAAATTTAGGTCCCATGGTTTCCCTTATTTACAACAATTAGTATACATATAGGATAATCTTATCAGATGAGCGGAAAAGCTCAAAATCTATGTACATATGACCATATAAAACGATGCTAAGTGAAACGAATCCCAAGATATGGACACAAGAGGTCTGTCTTTGTTGTTGTTGTTTTAAATGTACTTTGTGATTTTTTTTTGTTTCCTTTGTATGTTCTTCCCCCTATGGTATGGTATATCCTCTGTTGTCACTGTACTTGATCTGTCTAATCTGGGGAAGGGAAATAAAATGGTAAAACAAGGACCAGGATGACCCATTGCAACAATGATACCTGGAAATGAACTTTACAACTTCAAGTGGGGGGGAGGGTGAGTGCGGGAGGGAAAGGATAGTGGGACAACAGCAAGGAAGGGAAGGGGTAACAATGATCGACAAGGAATGTACTCATGGCCTTACTCATGTAACTGTAACCCCTCTGTACAGCATCTTTACAAGAAAATTTTAAAAATATATTCATTAGGTTCGTGCTTCTATCAACCTTCTTAACACATGAATTTCATCATGTGACTAGAGTCAAGAACTGGGACTCCTTACTACATAGTAAACTAAATCCAAACTGCCTCATGGAATTTCATGGTGCCCAATCACAAAAGATCTGTGAGATTATGCACAACCTGTTTTACCTCCTATATTTAATACTAATGGGCACAAGTACTCCAAAGATATATAAGATACACATATACAGAGTTGATTAATGCTAACTTCTATTTTATACAACTCAAATGAATTAATTTCAATTCATCACTTACCAGGTCAATAAGGCTCTCTTGTATCCTGTTCAGAGTTGTTCTTAATCGACTACTGCTAAGACCCAGTCCTGTTGACTCTAACTGGGGGGGGGGGGGGGGGGGGGGGGGGGGGGGGGGGAGGAGGGGTAAGGGAGGAGGGTAGAGAAAAGCATGTTACTCTGAATAATCTTGCAAATGATAAATCTTCCAACGTACCAAAGTATCTGATGAGTTTTTGTCAGGTGAAAATAAACTGCTCAATTTTCAGAGATTTTTCAAACTACATTAAAAAATTACAGCATGTAGCACTTGTGTATGTCTCTTGGTTTAATCTGTAACAAAACCTTACACATAGGTGCAAACAGTAAATCCTTTTTGCAACCCAGAATTCATTGTTGAGTATAAGTTTGGTACATGTAAGAAGGAATATGATTCCTACAATAGTTGGCAATGACAGGGGGTTAGTTAACTCATGCAGGTTGGCTCTGAGAATACAGTTGATGTAAAAACTAAAAAGAAAATTCCAGCATATCAAGCAAAGTAGTCAAATCTTTGCCCCAAAGGAAACCAAAGGGCCATTCTTCATAGGCACATACAGTTCACACCAGCACCAATCTTAGAAATCACCAGAAAGAAGTCATCAAAATTTCTTCCTCACAAAGTATTATTATTACAAATCTTGACATTTTAGATAGGTAGAGACAGTACAATTGTTTTTAATACACAAACTGGAGGCAGTTTAAATCCTCACTTAAAAAATAAATGAAGTTTTCTCTTAAGCTCAGTAAACAATTCATAGAACTGTATTCACTATGAAAAAGCCAAAGCATTTCAAAAAACTTATAAGCAGTATAAATGAAAAGACACAAAAATAACTAACTACATATATACATAGTCAAAATTGCCTGCTGGCTGTTGAGTCTTAGGTAGTGGGGGAAGGAATCAAATACTGAGTAGAAGATGAAGAGATACATGGTTGTATGTGTTTTTCTCCCATCAAAGGGACTTGAATGGGTGAACTGACAAGGATTTTCCTTGAGGAGGAGTCACTTGACTCAGAAACCCCTTTCATAGAGATTCAAAGTTTTTGCTTAGGTATTTCATTCAGCTTTATAAGACCGAAAATAGTAGCATCTGAATGATATATTTGAAGATATGAGTATTTTCAATATTCACATTGTAGCCAAGAAAAAGTACTATATATAATTTAGTAATAGAAAAGCTTAAAAAGTACAAGTGAAGGCTGGGAATGTGGCTTAGTGGTAGAGACGTGCCTAGCATGCATAAAGCCCTGGGTTTGATTCCTCAGTACCACATACACAGAAAAAGCTGGAAATGGTGCTGTGGCTCAAGCGGGTAGAGCGTTAGCCTTGAGCAAAAAGAAGCTCAGTGCCCAGGCCCTGAGTTCAAAACCCAGGATTGGCAGAAAAAAAGTACAAGTAAGAGGAAACAAAAATGCTGTTCTTACATATTTACTTATCTGCACATTTTTTGGCCCATCCATATAATAGAGCCTAAAGATTTAGTTTGCACCATCACAAAGGGATGGACCCATGTTAAAGATAGAATTCTTTATATCTAAAAGTTAATTGCTTCAATAATTAAATAGTTCTTACTGAGTCTAATAGAGTAAAAAATACTTTTAATATAAAATATTAATGTGTTGTTTAAAACAATGTTAAAGTATGCAGAATATTTAACAGTAATCTCTAACTAGATTTTGCCAACTTTCTCAGAATGTAGTGAAGTACTATATATAAATCTGTGCCAGTACATAATCAGCTAGAAAGTCATGCCTTAAACCATTTAAGCCCTCAAAAATTTCAAAATAATCTTATTTAACACATTTTATCATAATGTTGCCTATAACTCTTCTTTCAACATGATAGTTATTACTCACATGTAGATATTTGGATCCAGAGACAAATTAACTATCATTAGGATACAATTAAAGATTCATTTCTTAAGTCACATCAGTCACCACTCAAAGATCAAATAATCACTTGTGGCTACAATACAGGGTAGTGCAAATACAGAACATTTCTATGTAGTGAAAAATCTCTTGGACAGAGCCAGTCTAGAGGCAGAGTCCAGAAGATAAAGGTTCTTCCAGAAGACTAGAAGATTCTGACATGTAGCTGAAATTGAATGTCTTCCTCTTACAGTGTCGATTTGGTAACTTCTATATTCAGAATAATATGTCCTGTGGCAGTACTTCACTCTTTCTAAGGAACATTTTTCAGAATTAGGAACATAGAGAATTCCAGTTCTATGGCAAAAGACCATGGTTTTCATATATACCTGTGATCGTATTTATCTGTGATTCACATGATGAATATAGCTATCCATTAAAACTTAGATGTTTTCAAAATGGAAATATGGCTATAAAAACTAGAATTATGATATATTCATATGACCCAGTAGTATGTTTTTATAAAGAACTATTTATTTATGCAAGCCACATAATAACTTCTAAATATGAGATGTTTCTGAATAACACTGTGGTATACTTCATTAGGAATGGAAAAAGAAAAACTCACTAAGAATGTCCCAATACAAAAAAGAGGTAAGGGATACATTAATTCTGTGACAAGCAGATGGGCCAGTTCAACTATCTCCAATTATTTTAACAGACATTTGTTAATATCTTCTAAATGTATTAATGATAGTTAATATATTAATATACATATTTAGAAAGCCTTATTAACTGTGTATTAAATTTACTTAATATACTTGTTTGCTTAATATACTTAAGTTTATTTAAACTTAGTTTGCACAGATTTAGCCAGATTTTAACACAGTAACTTGTACATTTTTCAAGGCCTAAATATGTCAAATTAGAAACAAATGTTTCACTTTTCCATCTGACATGTAAATAATATACAATTGTAACAAATCTTAAATTCACATATAAGGCAGTTACATAGACAAAAGCTGATAATTTTGTATCTATCAGAAAATACTCAAAATGTTATCTACATATTTTATACAGAAAATGAAAAACTTTGCTTTATGTTTGTAAGAACAATAAATTTTAAAAGAGATTTTCCATTTAAGTTTGACTTACTGAATCATTCCGCCCAAAAAAGGTATATATTGCATATAAGTAATAATCAAAGAGCTGAGACATGAAATGGATAACGTCAAAGGCAATTGGCTTAAGAATGTTCATCATTTGCATATATTTCCCTGAAAAGAAAGTAAGAACAAAATTAAACATTTTGTCCATAATTTGAAAACAAGAAAAACACTATATTAAAATACTTAAAATTAAGTACTGTACTCCTCTAGTGATCTATGCTTTAATGCTCAGTAATTACAAAAGGCTAGTGGCTGCTGCATTAGACACAGCCGAGATTACAACTAGCTCTAACACCCTAGAAAGTTCTTTTAGACAGCAATGATGAATGATTTCTACTCTTGTAATGTTTTCCTATTATATCAAAAGTATTATTCAACTTTGTCAAAGTTTTATTTAACTCATACAGTTTCCTAGAAATGACCCTGAATAAATACATCATTCTTCTGTCGAGGTTCCATTCAAAATAATTTCCTCAGAAATATTTACACATAATAAATATAACAAGCTAGAGAAAAAGTGAGTGCTTTTGTTTTGTTTGTTCTGTTCTCCCCTTAAGCGTACATGCAGTGAAAGTAAAACAGCAAGAGGAGAAAAGGACCTAAAGAAAGCACAGTCCTTTCCTTTCAAGCCTGGACCTGTGAAATATTGCGTACAGGCCAAGAACCTTTTTTTTAAATCACTGCATCATTCATAAGCTCAGTATCCTCAAAGTGGCAAGAGCATATGGTCCCTGTACCTTCCTCTTCCTTCTCTTCCTCCAAACATGTGATCAGATAGTCACAGAAGAAAAAAAAACTAAAAAAACAAGTAACTACACTTACAAATTTGCTAAGATATTTGAAGGGCCCAGGAGAGATGGGCTACAAGTCCCTAGTTCTGTTTCTTCTCTACTGTTTAGAAACAAAGAGAAGCACAGCTACTAAACGTGCTCTAAGACTTTCTCTTGCAAAAGTAAAATGTTAAAATGAGTCACTTGCTTAATTTGCACATAACTCATGTAACTGTTAGCTATCAATTGTAAACTGGTATGATATTGAAGATAAAAGGACTCAAAAGCAAACAATTTATAAAAGAAATAAAAATTTTACTTTCATAGAAATACTGCTTTCAAAGCCATTTCTTTATCTACGAACCCCATACTCTGTCTTAATTCATGTGATGGGCAATTCCAAGTCAAAGTGTATGGACAGGAAGAGAGACACGCAAACATACATCAAAGTCAAGCGAAAGCTACTCTGGTTAGATTCTACCTTAATCCTGTTTACAACTCCTTCGTTAAAAAATCACTTTTGCAATTGTTTCATAATTTAGACAATTTTCTAAAATTCACATTAATAACAATTCAGATATGCTCCTACAGCCTTCTGATTCACTAAGCTGCTCTTAGCTGCAAGTAGAAAACATATAAAACAATGTGATACTGTCAAGAAAATAAATAGAAAAATATATTACTTTAATCATTAGAAGAAAAAGAGATGAATAAACAGAATACAGGTAACTAAACCAAAATATATCTAGAACACACTCTTTTCTTCATTCCTGATTAAAATCAACCATTGCTCATTTAACCTTAAACCTTAAGATTTAAAAATGATTATTAACAGGAAAAGGCTATTTTAAGCATTCAAAAGTAAAAAGAGCATCTTTCCTCACTTATCTAAAAAATATGAAATAATGAAAGGCATTCAGCAAACACTATTTGAAGACTGACTAGGTATTGGGTACCCTATTCCCTGCTCCCATACCCTGGAAGGTTATACACAGCAGTACATTATACAATATAAGAGTGAGGAGTCCAGCTTGCCATTCAAGAGGACTGCATAAGCAGACAGTAGTCCTTCAGAGGCCTGGAGAAGCTTACATATCTCATCAGATGTTATTAAATTAAAAAGGTTCCACAATGAATGAATCCCACACTTATTAAAGGAAAGCAGATGGCAAGGACAGGCAGAAAATAAATCTCAAAGTATCTACAGATAGAGATGGGTAACTATTTCCTGTAAAGGACCAAACAGTAGATGGTTAAGACTCTGCATACAATCTCTGTGGCAACTATGCAGATTTGCTGATTTCTATTCCGACTGCTCACTGGTGCCAATGTAGTGTAAGTGCAGCCATGGGCAAGTGTAAACAAATGACATGACTGTATTATAACAAATTTTACTTACTATTCTATTTCATTGGTCTTCAGGCTTATTCTTGTGCCAGTACCTAAATGTTTTTATTACTACAGCTTTGTAATAGAGTTTGAAGTTTGGAATTGATATTACTCCAACACTGTTGGAGTTCTGTTCTTCCTGCTAAGGATTGCTTTTGTTATTCATGGTTTTTTTTAACCATTCCATATGAACTTATTGATGACTTTCTCTGTTTCATTGAAGAATACTGTTGGGATTTTGATGAATATTGCATTGAATTTGTAGATAGCTTTGGGCAATATTGCCATTTTCATGATGTTAATAGAAATTACAGAGATGAACCCACAGACCTACATCCACCTAATATTTGATAAGGGAGCCAAAAACACAGGATGGAAGAATGACAGCCTCTTCAACAAATGGTGCTAGAATTGGCTATCCGCGCTCAGCAAACTGAGCCTATTCTCTCTCTCTCTCTCTCTCTCTCTCTCTCTCTCTCTCTCTCTCTCTCTATATATATATATATATATATATATATATCACCCTGCACCAGAATCAATTCCAAATGGATTAAAGACCTCAAAGTAAGATCAGATACTATGTAAAGGGAAAACACCAGGGCTCCTTGGCACAAGTCAAAACTTAAGTAAAGATCCAGAATCACAACAAATCAAAGAAAGACTGGATTAATGGGATTACATCAAATTGAAGTTTCTTCATGGCAAAGGATTTAGCTAGCATGATAAATTGAAAGCCCACAGAATGGGAGCAGATTTTTACTAGCTATGCATCTGTCAAGGGCTTCATAGTTATCTAAAGTGTACTAAGAGCTCAAAAAATTAAACCCCCAAAAACAAACCCTCAAAGAAACAACAACCCAATTAATAAATGGGCTAAAGACTTAGAGACTGCTCAGAAGAACTAACAATGGCCAATAGACACATGAAGAAATGTTTGACATCTCTGGCCATAGAAGAAATGCAAATCAAAACAACATTGAGATAACACCTCAGTTAGAATGTCCATTATCAAGAAAACTAGCAGTAACAAATGGTGGTGGGGGTATGTGACCAACAGGAATGTTGGGAATGTAAACTTGTTCAACCACTCAGGAAGGCAAAGACTAAAACATAAAGTCTCCCTACTGACTTCCTTATGCCCCAGCAATTCCACTCCTGGGCATTGGCCACAAATTGACCACAAACCAGGTCATACTAAAATCACCAGCACAACCATGTTCATTGTAACATTGTTTACCATAGCAAAGATATAGAATCAACTGAGATGCCCCTTGGTGGATGAACCAATCAAGAAAATGTGGTATATATACAAGACGGAATTTTATGCTTCCTTCAGAAAGAATGATATTGTACCATTTGTAAGGAAATGGAAAGACTCAGGAAAAAATTATATTAAAACCCAATCAAACATAGATTTCATGGTTTCTCTCATTTCTAGTGATTAAATTTTGGCTATACATCTACAAGTAAACACAATGGATGGTAAAAGAAAAAAAAACTACACTGGACATGACAAATTAAACAAGAGTCTAAACATTCACACAGTGAGATCAAAAGAGGATATTCTTAGGAGAGGATCATAAAGGTTCAACAGCTATGATCATTTAAAATGATGTGTATCGAACTGAACCCCAAGAAATGGGGTATTTTGGTATGTTGCTTTTTGTTTTTTCTATCCTTTGGCACTGTTTTGATTTCTGTACCTTTTTATGTAAGTTTATCTGTTTTGGGGGAGCACAAGGGGAAGCACAGAAACAGTGGGACAAAGAATGAACAAATGCAGCTATGATATTCACTGGACACTGTTGAAAATGAAACTATACAACTTGTGGGGGAGGAGGGTCAGGAGAGAAAAACTGTGTCCACTTTTAAGCTAAAAAGAAAATTCCATTTTTATAATAAAAAGATTGGTTAAAACCATAATCATTCTATTTTGCCTTTTACAACATAAAAAACACTAAATCATCCTGATCTGTCCTACCTGCTACAGCTTCCCAAACCTGTTTTAGGCAGTAGATTCAAAATGTAAAAGGAAAAATATAAAGAACTCAATTCATCATTAGGAGGTATTTGGCAGGATAGTGACTGCTTAAAATCAAGCTGGTCCAGAATAAGGAGTGGGGCTGAGAAGAATGACATAGTAGTTTAGTGGAGGTACCAGACACAGATTACAAAAATCAGTAAGTGGAATTTCTATACAACAACAACAATTCATACACAATTTTTTTCAAAAAGAGGATATTTTTCATAACAAAACCCCAAACTATAAAGTATCAGACATTAACTAATCTAAGCATAGTTAATGCTACCTAGCATGAGGGATATGCTCATTTTATGACTTTTGTAAAAAGAAGTAAAAAATAAAAATAAAAAAGCAAATAAACTTGAAGAAATAACAAATTAGAAAGTTATAGCTTCTGGATTGGATATTAGCACCACAGATTACAGTCTACCAAATTCTGAGATTTGGGTTTGTCCTCCTTAGTCAACCAGTTTTGCCCTATCTTACACAATGTTCCCAGTCAGAACTCTACTGAGGGTAAAGCCAGTTCAGACACAGCTCTATTTAGAAGAGACCCAGACTAGCTGTCTAAAGCTTTAATAAAATGTGAAAAGATGAAAAAAAAAAAAAAAACCCCTCAGGCCTCATTGAGGAAAACTCAAAGTGTGAAAGTGAAGAAAGAAACTGAAGAAACAAGAGTAATTCAAGCCACAGAAGAGAAATCAAAATTATGTCAAACCCTTACAACAGGGAAGTATGGGGAAGGGCAAAGGAATATGGAAAGGGTGCCTAAAGATTAAAAACAATATAATTTTAAAAATAATTTTTTTAAATGGGCAGAAAAACCTCCCAAAAGGTACAGGGAAAAAAAAGAAAAAATGTGGAAAAATAGAAAATGTGACATCAAGAACAATTTGAGAGATTGACCACACGAATAGTGGGGTTGG